TCTGAAAGATGTTGAAACTAATGCCTTGGGAAATAAGTAAGAGTTTTAAAAGTAAAAGGAGAACAGCAGTTAGAGCAAAGTTGATCATGTATTTATTCCTTTAAATAGAAAATGATGATCATCTACCCAAAAATGTAACAATATAGTATCTCCAGTGAAAGAGAAGTCAAGCTAACAGGTAGAATAATGCACAGCTCTTTAGATGTGAGTAAATGCATTGCTCCTGTCTTTGCTTCAGGAGTAGTGTATTTAGAGCTTCTGGCCACATTTGTTAATGATAGAAAAAAGAAAAAACACAAAAAATTACAGTATAATTGTGACCTAAAGCGACAAAGCTTTACCTGTTTCTCTGTTGTTTGTAACATAACCGGGCCAACAAAAGTTTCTCCCCAAATTCACAATACTCGGATACTAGAAAAACAAACAACAACAAAAATCCTTCACAGTGTTAACCTGAGTACAGTACATGGTAAGCAGAGCTCCTTCAGACCTCCTTCACTTTCTTTGGAAGGGGAAGTGAAATCATCAACACACACCAACCCAAAGAAAAACCAAACAAAACACTTTACCCATGTGACCTACAGAACAATAAATGCAAATAATGCTTCACCTTATGTGTAAATAACATAAAATCAGGCAGCAACACCCCATCACCCACAGTGCAGACACATGACACAGAAGTGCATGCTCCTGCAGAACCTCAAGAAGCCATCGCACGAGCACTTTGTGTGATGAGGGTTCGAGGTGAAGTAGAGAACTCCTCCTCCCTTCATGTCACCCTCTTTGCTTTGCCTTCATCTTCTCATTGCACCGAACAAAGTCTCATCTGTCGGCGTGGCCTCGTTCAGTGCCGTCTTCTTCTCTCCGGGCAGTTGCGTCCTGCTCGGGTAGCAGCCTGTGCGAGCGCTGCGCCTCTGCTCGACATTGGGAGCAGGATGTGAGCGCGGCGCAGAGGCGCGTGCGGATCGGCTGAGTGAACAAGACGAACATGACGCAGTTGGCTGCTCCCTGCAAGGTGTTGCCAATCCCCTGTGGGATCAGACGAAAGAGGGGTTTCAGATGAGGGCATCATGATGGCTTATTCCAGAGAAATAAAAAGTCTTTATGAGTTTTGATGGCAAATGCTTGTTTTATCGGTCAATAAAACAGCACATTTTCATTTATATCATCGTGTTCATAGTGCGTAAAAATGTTTTATGCACACTTACAGTGGCACTATCATGTAATAAAACAGTCCAAACATCATAAAGGCTTCATTTCATTTTCAAGCCATTTAAAAGGAAAATTTACAGTATTTTGAAAATGCTTTGTTACTTTTTAAAAAGGCAAAAAGAGAAAGAAACGTAAACTCACGTGCAGCGTGACCAGTGCTGGGTTCTGTCTGACACTTGAGTCGGCTAGCAGCAGGATAAAGCGCACCGTGCTCCAAATGCGTAGGACGATGAAGATGATGGGGATGAGCGTGAGCTTCACATCAGCCATGGAGGAGAAGGAGTGGGCGGGAGGCCTGTTGGCCAAGATGGGACGGTACTCAGAGAGGGCTGCATGCTGCGTCAGAGCATCAAGAGTGAGACCATTAAAAGGAAATAAAGAAAGAGAGAAAATGTGTCATCAAGAACATCAGATAACTTTCACACTACTAGGCAGATATTTGAGGGAGATACAGAAACCCTTTCATTACACTATATCATTTTTGGTTTTTTTAAAAACAACAAGCCAAACTGCAGAAACTAAGTACATCCAATTCAGTAGCTTATAGAACCACCTTTAATAGAAGTTGAAGTAATCATTTTCTGTGTGACTTTATCAGTCTCTAATATCATTGTAGAGGGTTTTGGCCCAATCTTCTACACAATGGTGCTTCCGCTCATTGAGGTTTGTGGGCATTTGTTCATGCACAGCTCTCTTAAGTAAGGTTGAAATCTAGACTTTGACTGGACCTTTGCAGTTGTTCTGTTGGAGATTTGTCTCTGTGCATGAACCTGTTTGGATCAAGCTTTAGCATCCGGACAGATGGCCTCAGATTTGACCCTAGAATACTTTTATACAGAGGAGTTCATGGTTCACTCGGTGACGTCAAGCTGCCAATATCCTGTGGCTGAAAAACAAGCCCAAATCATTACCCATGCACCACTGTGGTTGGTATAAGTCGTTAGTGCTGATATGCTGTGTTTGGTTGCAATTGTGCATGTTTGGTGCAACTTTGCATTTCCAAGCCGTGGTGCCATGTCCTTTTTTAGAGAAAACGTAGCTTCCTCCTGTTAATCCTTCCTGACAAGCCATATTTGTTATTTAATTGTGCTGTCATGAACTTTAACATTTAACATGTTAACTGAGGCCTGTAGAGTCTCTTGGGGTTTTGTTGCAGTTTCTCTAAGCATGCACGGTCTGACTTTGGGATGAATATTCTGGGACATTCACTCTTAGGAATACTGGCAGCTGTCATGAGGTGATCCACACCTGCACACTGACAAAACTTCTGCTTTCACAGAGGTGCACACACTTGATGAAGAACCATTATTCCAGTACATTTGATGAGGAATTCCTGGCTGCTACTTACCCTCCTAATTCTTTATGGACGCGGTAATCGTGCGATTAGATTCTCACGCCGTTTCTTCATTTTTGGCCAGTTTTTGTTAAATAACGACATGGAGCTGTATGTTATGTGTTGTTGTTCATCTGGGGTTTTGCTTACTTCATTTTAACCTGCTCAGGACCAGATGATTGTCTTAACATGTCCTGATATGTAAAACTGAACTTTCTTTTTCCCATGACTGAAAGTTTCTGTTAGGATAAAAGTGCAATATAACAAAGAATGATTTCATCCACAGTCTGACTACCTCTGTAGTGTGTTTCATAATAGTTAGCGTGTTAGGGATAAAGTTTCCTGTCATCCTCTAAGGGAAACAAATCAGTTCCTTTAATGCTCAACTGCTGAAAGTCTGAGTCAGATACAGGAACTGGGATGTATTGATATTCTGTGCATACATTCCTATAGAAGATTTCAGGCTGTGATCAGTATGTTGTTTGGTTGAAATGATTTATGAGCCAGGATGTTTTAAACAAACTGTATTTCCACTTTATGCCCAGGTGATGATTTTAGCTTTCCAAGACTAAATGCAAATAATGATAGGCCAATACATTTTGGGTTTTTTCCCCTGAAGACAACAGTGTCTCTTTCACTCTCTGACTATGATATTAATCATAATGCAGAAGGCACGAGGGGAAGTGTAAGATCAGCTTTTTAATGAATAAAGAAACTTGTTCATGATTCACTCTGTCGACCTGAAAACAGCTGATCACCAGCAGATTTCCAATAAAGGTCAAAGGTTCTGGCTGATTACAGATGAATGTAAATAACAGATCCACTGTGGATCGCTCGTACTGAGTACCGGAGTATTAAGAAGGATGATTTTAAGTGACATATTCAAATAGTCACAAAGCTCTGTGTACACATGACTGATGAATGAGGTCCCTGGTGTCCTCCTCACCGCTATGTGGATGTGCCTCTTGATCAGGATGTAGAGGAAGGGGAGGGTGAGGTACGCCAAGAACTCCCAGATCTTTCCAGTCAGCAGCATCCACAGGACCCGGTCTTGAACGTTGATCCTGACCCAGCACCAGCCCACCGACACCTCTGACGCATCGTAACCAATCTTGTTGAGACTCACAGCTGCAATAGTGATGGCCAGAGGAATTCCCCAGCTGGAACACAAAACAAGGGTCCGGAGAGTAAACACAACAGCTCCGAAGGTCAGAGTCACATTTTTAAACTTTTCCACTGGAGGTTTTTATGTAAATGTTTGACGGGCATGACACCAACACTTGCAGCAAAGACATGTGACAGTGTGTGATAGTAATTTTGTGCTTAAGGCTTTTGTGTGTTACATGGTGCAAACTGCAGAGTCACGGCCAGTTCTGTTGTTGAAGAAGATAAAACCACGAAATGAATTCTGCATTGTTTGCAGCGCTCGTTAGTTTCCCGCCCCCCCATGAAGCACTTCTCCTCTCGTAACGCCACTTTAAAAGGTTACTAGATTTTCATTGCAGTATACACAGCAGCAGACATTTATAAATACCAAAAAGACAGTGCATGTGTCTTAGTGTATATAAGCCTCCATAAATGCCTCTGTTGTGTGATCTCCAGTTCATTGCAGTATCTGAGAACTCACAGAGAGATTGTTAGGATGACAACGGCAAACACTGCAGTGAGGCATACCCATGGGTGAAAAGTGTCCAAAAATAGATCAATTAAACGATGGTACATCACAGTGAGTCAACTCGTTAACAATCAGTGAGGACAAATCATTAACGTGCAGAAGGAAAGTGGACAACAAGGATTAAAATGTGTAAAATAAAAAAATAAAACACTACAAGGGGTCGTCACACTGGGAGGCTCCGCATGTTTGATTGCTGTTTTTACAGTGGAAACAGTGAACCACTAAAATAAACACATTTGTTTTAGCTGTTACATTTTTTACAAAATTGACATGTTAATAAAGAGAAATATATCTGAAGCACTGCTTGTCAATAAAGTGGACACACAGTACTGTGTAAAAATCTTGAGTCACCCCTCATTTCTTTGTATTTTACTTCAGAGGAGCCAGATTTTCTTGGAATTTTTAAAGTACTCTTGAGCAATAGGTCTCCAGGCTTTCTGAGCATCCTCCAAAGTTTTTTTTTTTTTTTTTTTTGGACATTGGCTGTTTTTTCACCCATTTTCAGTCCAGTCCTTGTACCTGAACATTTTCAGAGGAATGCGTTTTTTGTTGTTTTTTCACTTCTTAAGCTACTTAAAAATAACCTATGAGTCATTCAAGCACAAAAAAAGCACGAGACTCAAGGGATGAAAGAGTGTTGTGTCTACACATAACAGACAAGTTGGCAAAAAAACAAACAAACCCATTTTATATCTTATATATTTTATATCTTTAGGGATAAAAATGTTTTTATTTCCCAGAGATTTATTAGTAGAAAACTTGACATGGTGCCCCCTTCCCCCTGACTCTTTGGGCTTGAATTGTAAAAAATGAATCTGTCTGGTAGCTCATTGCCCAGACTTTCCTGTAACTATAAAAATTCACCAAAAATGTCCTATTTTTTTTATTTAGAATCCAAAAATGCATGCCCTCTCAGCATGGTGTGCAGTGTGTCCTTCAAAGAAAATGGGGAAACTGGATGAGTGGAGGACAAAAGAAGAAGTGGCAGGTCTAAAACCTATCTACAGCAGAAGGACAGTGTCTGAAGGTCACATCCTTAAAAACGGGCCTGAGAATGCATCTGGTCCTTCATTTGATTCCTCTACTCTTCACTGAAGCCTCACCAGAAATGGTCTCAATGGAGAGGTGACTGTTAAGAAGACATTTTTAAGGAAGGGAACAAAGTGAAAAAGCCAAAATACACAAGAACTGGAGTGAAAAATCAGTGGCAACATGTCTTATGGAGTGATGAATACAAATATGAAATGTTTGGCTCGTGTCATCATCAGTATGTGTGGAGGAAGTCAGGAAAGAGTGTCTACACAACATTGAGGGTCTACAGTCATCTAGATCGGATGCTGTATCATGGTTGGAGCTGCATTTCAGCCAGTGGCGTTGGAGATCTCGTTAAACTGATTAAATTATGAACACAGAAAAGTGCAGGCAGATTTTGATCTGTTATGCAATGCCATCTGAAGAATGTGACTGGCCACAGCTTCGTTTTTCACAACAATAATCTCAAACACCACACCAGTACAGTAAAGGCATACCTGGATAGAATAACACACAATGGTTCACTATCAGTCATGGCTTCTCCAGAGCTGGACCTCAACATTATTAAAGCAGTGTGTGACCATCTAAAGGTGGCCAACATCCAGAGAAGAGCTTTGAATGTCCTTCAAGTAGCCTGGAGAACTATTCCTGAAGACTACTTAAAGAAATTACAAGAAAGCTGCCTAAGACAGCTCAGACTGTGGTGGAGAATAAAGGCAGCCATACCTAATATTGACTGTCAAGCTTGTTAGAATTGTATAAGGAGTGGGAGTCCCCACCAAGCATCAGTTGAAGGTGAGACCTCCTTTTCTAGCCAATGGTCACTATAGCACATGATGTGAAAAGAAGGCGAGATTAGCTGCTGATTTAAAATGACATAAAGCACCACAGGGAACTGTGCTGTTCCCTCTTCTCTTCACCCTGTACACCTCTGACTTCTGCTACAACTCTGAATTATGCCATATTCAGAAGTTTGCAGATGACACAGCCATCATGGGGTGTATCTGGGATGATCAGGAAGAGGAGTACAGAAGTCTGGTGAGGAACTTGGAGTCACACAAACCACCTGCAACTCAACACCTGAAAGACTAAGGAACTGGTTGTGGACTTCGGGAGGTCCAGAGCAGGTCCACTGCCGGTTCAGATAGAGGGAGAGGAGGTGGTCAAGTACAAGTACCTCGGGCTGTGGGTTGAAACAAACTGGACTGGTCATGCAATACAGAGCACCTGTATAAAAAAGGCCAAAGCCGACTCTACGTCCCCAGGAGGCTGAGCTCTTTTAACATCTGCAGGAAGCTCCTGAGGATGTTTTACCAGTCGGTGGTTGCTGGAGTACTTTTCTATGCTGTGGTGTGCTGGGGGAGCAGCACAGCAAAGAAGGACTCATCCAGGCTGGAGAAACTGATCAGGAAGGCTGGCTCTGTGGTCGGCATGAAGCTGGACACTCTGGTGACAGTGGCAGAGGAAAGGACACTAAAAAAAATTGCTGGACATTATAGACAATGTTGGGCATCCTCTGCACACGACCATAAACAACCAGAGGAGTCTGTTCAGTGACAGGTTGCTTCTCCCAAAGACAAGAACCAACAGACTTAAAAACTCCTTTGTCCCACACGCCATCAAACTGGGAGAGGGAGGGGAGACAGGAGGACAAAGGAGGGGGGGACAACTAAGCTGTAGTGCCTTTTCACTGTGCAATACTTTTTGTTAATAACCAACGGTGCAATAGACTTCAATACTTGAAATGTGCAATTCCCTTGTATTCTTATTCCTATTTATTCTATTTATCCCTTTTGTATATTCTTTATTTATATGTGTCTCTGTATTTATATATGTGTATATATGGTATTCTGCTCACATTCTGTAACTTCTGTTGGTGCTGTGCTTTGGAAACCGAATTTCCCAGAGGAATCCACCCGAGGGATTAATAAAGTTCTGTCTTTATCTTATCTTATATCTGCATAGTACAGACTCAATTTGATTGATTTTAAGGAATTTTGATAAGAAAAAACAAAAAATGTTTTGTTCTACAGAAGAAAAGAGCAGGGTGGACATGTTGGGGATGTTTTTGACCATGAAACCAGAAAACAATGAATGTGAGGAAGAGGAAGAGTGGGATGAATGAAAAGCTTTGAAAATAAAATATTGTCTTTTTGGCTGTTATTGAACTCATTTATCCACAAATAAATCACCAAAGTTTCAGTAACAGAAATTCTGACAGTATGACTGAATGTTGTCAGTGATACATTTTAAGTTGGGGTGTTTTCTTTTTTCTGTTTTTGCTGGTAGTGAAAAAAAAAAGGCGAGGCACGGTTCAGACGGCGATCTATTGCAGGACAAACACACAGAGACACTCACTAATTCAGAATCACCAGTTAGCCTGACTTGTATGTTTGAGGATGGGAAGCTGGAGCACGCTGGCACGCAGAGAACATGCGTACTCCACACAGGACCCTCGCTCTGTGAGGCAGCAGTGCTAACCGCAGCACAAACATGTAAATGCCTTTTCAGTGAAGTATGTGGAAAACCCCCCATACGTAAATGGTGTTCACAAAATATCGCTTTGAAAGTAGTTATTGTATCATTATCTCTTCTAAGTAAACAAACTTTTTAAAAATACAAATGAGGCAAGGCTTTACAGCCCCCCCCCCCCCCACGCCCCCTGTAGATCCGCCCCTGAGTTAGGACGACTCTGTAGGCTTGAAGTGTACAAAATAAATGCTTTAAATGACAGAAAAAGTTCTGGTAGCTCATTGCTCAGACTGTCCTGTAATTATAAAGCTGGAAGTTTTTGTTAATTCACAAAAAAGTCCTATTTTATTCATTTAGAATCCAAAATGCCAGATTGGATTCTTTGCCTGACCATTTCTGGCCCCCGGGGCCTTATGTTTGACACCCTTGGTGTAATGGATTTGTAGGGAGTCCCTTATTCAGTGTTCGTATCCAGAGAAACACACACGGAGGATCCAGGTTGTCCTGGTAACATCAGCTGGTGAGAAAACAAGTGAGCACGTGTCATGCATCAGCTGATTTATGAACATTCGTCACGTGAACTGATCCAATAACTCCATGGTTAATATTTGAAAACTCACTAGGTCCCACCGTGATGTCAGCACGTCACCCCGTTATGCGGTGTAACGTCAGGACGTAGCTTGGCAGTAAACTGGAGTTTTGCGCCAACTTTCAGAGTGTTACAAAATAAAGTAGATGCACGTTAAGTGAGCCAAAGCGGTTTGTGTTTGTGGTCTAATTCCCAGTTTAAAGGAGCCGTTTTGAATGTGCAGCTTTTAACAAGTCGCTGTTCAAAATCTCAGAAAATATGACGTAAACTCAACTTAAGGGGGGGGGGGGCAATTGCCGAAATCCCAAGATGCTTCAGGGCGCAGGTACCACCGGAGCAGGTTTAGTAAACAGATAACACTCCGCGGGTTGCTTACCTGACGAGGTGGAACACCAACACGAGGCTGTCAGCGACTCTTTGGTTGGCCCTCACGATGAACACGTACAGGTAAACGGCGATGGCCACGGTCCAGAAGAAGGAGCTGGTGTTGGCGAAAGTGGAAATCGCTCCCTGAGCGACGCACTCCCCCGAGTTTGTGCGGAAGACGCTCCACACTCCGAAGGCGTAGGAGACGGCGGAGAGCCAGTCAGACACCGAGAGGTAAACCAGCAGTTTCCTCGGAGTTGTCCTCAAATCCGACCAAATAATGTAGGTGAGGATAATCAGAGAGGAGCCCAGGAAAGATAGCGCGCACGAGAACAGCACGATCACCTGCTCGAACAGATACACCTCGGTCTGAGTCTGAGTCGCGTTTGCCATCGTGTAGCGCGATCAGGCACGAGCTGCAGTCGTCTCGCGGACACCGCAGTCTCTGTTTGTTTGTAAACACCTTTCTTTTCCCGGCCGAGCGCACTGGTTTTATTCTGGATGTTCCCAGGGGCTCTCCACATTATTTTCCCTTAAGGCCAGGCGACGGTTTAAAAACACTCCGTCCAGTCGAGCCACATGACTTGAAAAAAAAAACAAAAAACTTCTACTGCTTTTAAGGGAGTCAAACAAAACTTTTCACCCAGCTTAAAGCCCTCCTTCCCCGCCGCCCCCTCACCAACCGGAACCCAAAGCAGAAGTTAAGTCAGCTGGTAACCTACAGGCACTCAAAGGGTCTATTTTTGAGTGTAATTGTCTCAGTTTGTGCTGTCCAGCTTTGACATAAAGTGCCACACACGGCACATGACAGCATGATGAAACCGCTTCCCCATTCCTGTCATGGTTTCGCATAAAAGGATTCGCTGCTCAGGTTAGAAAATGACGTCTGATTTTATTTTAATAACTATTTTGTACATGAATAAAAAAAGATACACTTCACATAAATATAAGCTGGCACAAGTGCATTGAATAACAAGACGCATTCATTTTTATATAAATGTATGTAGAAGTTGATAAAAAGTGACTGAATTTTGGCTTCAGAAAGTGCAGTATTGCAAAGTAGGCAATCAAAACACATGAATAGGTGGTGGCACCAAAGCAGAAGTGTCATCAAAGAGCACAGAGGAACTGAATAAATAAAAGCGAAACAAAACATAATTTAAAAGTACATCAGCTGTGAACATGATGGGCAGCAGAAAATTCAAACATTGAAATGTTTTTATTTGAATTATTTGATGATGTTGTAAACTACAGGACATAGATTGCATCTAACAAATATTTTCATGGTTTCACTTCATTCTTCTTTGCAAGGTAAAAAAAAAAAGCATTTAAAATTGTGTATCCAAAACCTCCCTGTATTAATCCTCAGGTATACAAAAAAGGGAAAAAGCTGCAAATGTGTGAAAGTGATTAAATCTGAAGCATAGTTATTTAAAACACCCAATCATGAATATAAAAGCCTTCATGGGTGAATTTAAATGTAGTCAAAGGACCAATTAAATTTTGAATTCACGATAACCCATCCTGCAGTAAGAGTTGGAATCTCAGCTTTCTGGGGCAATGAGTTCATTTTTAAATAAAAGCATAATTTTGCCTGAAATTACATTTCTATTAGCGACGAGTTCACTGTGCACAGAAATAAAGGAGAAGCTAACAACTAACATCTGGCTTGCCTCCTGTCCCGAGTGCTGATGATTCTTTGGTGGCCTTGTGATTTGCAGTTTACCAAAGAAGTGTGATGTAAAACGGTTTAGAGCCCTCGGAGCGGTGACCTTGTGTCAGAGCAGGACTTTTACTGCTTCTGCATTACTGCAGCCCAGAAAAACCTGCAACCCCCTTGTTTTAGTGTTTGCAGCAGTGCAGCAGAACATTGGTGGGGGTTTTTTTTCTTTGTCTTTTTTCCCTTGCAGACTGCAGCAAACTCGGCATCTGCATTATCGCCTGAATCACACCATCGACAGACAGTTTAAGACACTGTTTTGTATCGAGCATCAAAAATCAGAAGAACGTGTGTGTGTGTGTGTGTGTGTGTGTGAGAGTGTGTGAGAAAGCCTAAATTAATGTGCACCTGACTCATCTGCACACATTAGGTCGTCTTTGGTCACACAGAAATATTCTCACCTTGCACTAAATAAAAAGTGTTCTTTTTTTAATGTAGTCCAAAGGGCCTTTCTGCAACACTTTTGCATTATTACAAAATTCTTGTGTTAAGTAAGGAAAGAGGAAAATATATAAATCAGTATTTATCTAACTTTATTTATAATGCTCCTTTTCTACAGCAGCAATATGTCACAAATAAAGTATCAGGCACATAAATCAAGAATTAATCATATCCACTTTCTTTTTGTTTGTGTGCTACATCCAGAAATATCTGTGGAGCAAATTAAATTAAGGGATCAAAAACATGCATTTGCAACTGAAAAAAAGTCATAGTAAGCCAAGCTGTATTTTCTGAATGAAAGGGCTTTCGTTTTGTCTCAATGAAAAGGAAAAAAAAAGGCAAAGGTTTCACAAATTGGCGCAGCAGCGTTTGATCAAAAGCATGCCGGGAGGTTTGCTTTCAGTCACAAGATGGCAGCAGAAGATCATGATAGTGCAACAGACAGTGTGGAAGTTTGACGCTTTGATCCGTTTTCTAAATATTGCGGAGGCCGTGCGCTCGGTCGATCTCTCCTCAGTTAATTCTCTTAGGAGGGTCGAAAACTTACAGTGCCAGCTCCCAGTTTCCTCCCTCTCAGCTGTGATCCCGGGGCTTCTTATTGCGAAGAATTTCTGCGGCAGTATACTTGCTGATTGCTTCATTCTCACTCCTCACAACAACCAGCTAAGACACTGCCAGAGAAACACCCACAGCAGCCGCGTCCAACCACCCGACTCCGGGCTTGCTCTCCCCAGCAGGGTCCTGACTGGTCTTTGGTGCATGTGTCCACCTGCGAGCCTGGCACTGCTGACGCTTTCCATTCCCAGATTCGTGGTGATGGTGTTGTTGATGGTTGTTGGAAGGCAGTGGCCTCACACTGAAAGCCCCCCTCACCTCGAGGGTGGCGTGGTGCTCTGGCAGCTCTGTAAGAAAGCAGGAGGAAATGTTAGTAGTTGTTCATTAAGTGTATAAGTATAGAGGCCCTTTCTGCTCCCTGACTGAGATTTACACAACTACAACGCACAGACGAGCCCACGTTGCGCTTCATGAAGTGAACCCCCGAGCTTGTTTCCAAACTGATTTCTTGATCTCCTCCTAGCCGGTTTGTGCAGCATCACTTTAAGTGCACACAACTTTGGCAAACACAAACACCCCCGAACTAAGAATAGGCTTGCCATGACTCATGATTTTGCAACAAAAAAGCTCGGTTTGATTTAGCTCTCAACTATTTGTGTGGCTGCCAGCCTTGCTTCTGTTTTTTTTGGGGGGGGTGGTTATGTCTTTTTTTTTTTTAATGTCATTTTTTTTTTTACTCTAGCTCCATACAGTGCTAGTCTGTGTTTGTGTACCTCAGGGACCACAGCTAAAACGCTATCAGTTGCGTTTGCTCGCTGCAGTGCTATTTTGGGCTGGCTGACCGCTCCATACTGTCGTCTCCCTGTGGACACTGCTTTGCTCGCAGGACAGCATGGATACTAGAGACCGGTAGGCACATGCTCTTAAACGAAGGAAGAGAGGACGTTCCGTAGAGGGAGGAACGTCTGGAAAACAAACAGTTTGAATTACATCAACTATCCGCTGTTATTGCTTCTGAATTCTGCAGCAAGGCTATTTGTGGCCCTCTGCGTCGGCTTCTGGTCTATCTTGTGACGTACTTTTTGGTTGTATAACTGGAAATTCCTGCGTTTTTATTTGTGGTTTAAGCATTTTGACCTTTTTGAAATTCTAAGAAAGCACTTTATGACGCTCTGAAGCTTCTTGCCTGAAACAAACACAAAATTTGTATTTGTCAGCGTCTGTCTTCACACACACACACACATGCACAACTGATGTCCACAGACAAACGCAGAGGTCGCACCTTGACCTGCTTTCACCAAGCAGCTGCATCCTTGTCCCTTTGTGCGTTCGCAGCGAGTTAGATGCCGCCTTCGCTGAGCACATGATGACAGGAATTCCTTCCTGTTCAGACCTTGAGGTAATCCTGATACAGGAACGAAGAATGGCAGGGAAAACTAAACCCTGCCTGCTAAATGAATGGCCGGCCACCCCACCGCCTCTCACAGCAAACAGCAGCGAGCCTCGACTAACAAGCCTTTCCACAAATGCATTTAAAGCCTCAGGCACGGCTCACCTCTTCTCACAGATTTCCCTATTGTAATATTTCCGTAGTATTGTCCAAACCTGGGGAAAAAAACCCTTTTTTACAAATATTAGTCAGAGGTGTGGATGAATACTGCTCGAGCGGACTTAGTAAGGGATTTAACCGGATAAATAAATGCTGTTTTGTGGTTTAACCTGTTAAGTACATCTTAATTTAGCTGGAGGGGGATGTGTCCAGACGATGCAGCTAACACTAAATTTTTGTTATTATCACCACATCTGCACAAGCTAAATGAAAAGATAACAATAACGCTTTTCATCAAGTGTTTTCTTTTTTTAGCGTTTTGCTTATTGTGCGTTTTATCTTTGTTGTGGCAAATTAATTGCACTCGGTGTGCACAGGGAGGTGGAGGAAGTGCACAACACGAACAAAATTGCATCTCATTTTCACGTGTGCGCTGTTAGTGATATCAGGTTTTTTCATACTTATTATTTCACACCACTCATATCGCAGTACGAGTTGTTTTCTAAATTAATCGACTGTCATTTAACAAAATAAAACCTTGACAGTAAAGATTTGGGGAAAAAAGTGTTTAGGTATTTTTGGGAAGATCAAAACAAAATCATTAATGTTTAATTATTATAAACAAATTAAAGTCTTTTAAAAAATATTTAAAGTTTTATTTTATATTCCCTTAAAAATACCCTTGTTTCTTTTGTAGGAAAAGTGAAACTAAACATTTTTATTGTCCTTTTTGATCCAATATGTATTTTCCTGTTGCTAAATTATGATTTTATTTTTTATTTTTTATTTTTTAATTTGAAAAGGAAACGCGTGAAAGCTAATGTAAATGAACAAGCCTGGTTTAAGATGTTAACGTGTCATCGATGGCTTGTAAGAGAGCATCATTTGGTCCTTTGTGGTGTAACTAAAAGCTTTAAATATCAGATTAAAATTGACTCGTAAAAACACACACACACACAAAAACACAAAAAGATTTGTGTTAGTGTTAGACGTGTGTAATCTGGAGTGTCAAACGTAACATTGCACATGGTGCACATAGCGTTTGCCTCAGAATAGCTTTTGTTTAAATAACCGTGGGACTCTGTAGGTCTACAGTTTCTGACATATTCAGCCTCCAGGCAACAATTTTCCCCAGCAACACTTCACCAAAACACACACACACACGTGTACAAACCCCAGGCTGGCCTATACTTCCTGCTCATGGTGGATCCCTCTGCTGTCAGGCCTCACGATGTGTAATCCAAACGAGAGAGAGAGAAAAAAAATCACATTCACCCACTTTACCTCACTTCCCCGTTTCTCCTCATGTCACTCTGCTGCACATTTCTTGGTTGATCAACGCTTCCACAAACCTAATCATCTGATGGCAAACAGTGACATCAGTATGTACTGAAGGGCCGTGCTGCTGAGCAGTTTAACACATGCACAACACGCTCACATCGGCATACATGACATGCGAGCTTAGCCTCTCGTAGTCTTTTTTTTTTTTTTACTTTTATTTTTAGAACAATTTTAAAACATATTTGGGTTT